GGATCCACCTCATCATCTCTAGCCTGATTCTGGCCTGCATATTTATACCTGCGTCTGGGAATTTCCACTACATGCATCTGACGAAGTGGGTCTTTGCCCATGAAAGCTTATGCTCCAACATTTCAGTTAGTCTATAAGGTGCCACAGGACTCCTCGCCGCTTTTGCAGATTCAGACTAACACGGCTACCCCTTTGATAAATAAAACTAACACTGGCCCTAGTTTCAAGTATCATAGCACAACTATGTGGCTCTAAAAATTTCTGCCAAGACTGGTTTACACAGGGTGATTTAAAGTGCCCTGCAATTCACATCCCCATGGACCAGTCTGCAGCACAGTGTGGATAAGCCCTAACACTTTGTTAAAAGTATAGAATCATAGAATAATAGAACTAGAATGTCATCAAGTCCAGTCCCCTGCCCTCGCAGCAGGACTAAGCACTATCTAGATCAGGGCTACTCAAATTTTGGAAGCCCCTGGGGCCACAATGATACTCACAGCACATGCTGAGGGTCACAACTTAAATGTGGTTTCATATGCATGCGAATAGCTTCTTTCACACTGATGGGCATGAATACACAGATTAAGGCAAGACTCTACAACACGCAGGCTCCATTTAAGTCCGTTCTGCTGATATTAATAAAAATGCAATATTTACCTGATTTCCACCCATATGACAGCAATTTTAATGAGCCAGGAATTTAGCTACTAAATCACATATCAACAGAAGACCATTATATTGACTACTTTTTTGTTTTGGCTTCACAACAGTCCAGGAATTTAACTACTAAAATACATATCAACTCAAACTGCAGCATAAGCCCAAACCACACCACAGGTGGCAAGGCCACATGTTGAGTAGCTCTGATCTAGATCATACCTGATACATGCCTGACTAACCTACTCTTAGATATCTTCAATGATGGAGATCCCACAATCTCCCCAGGCAATTTATTCCAGTGTTTAACCAACCTGACATTTAGGAAGATTTTCCTAATGTCCAACCTAAACCTCCCTTGCTGCAATTTAAGCCCATTGCTTCTTGTCCTATCATCAGAGGTTAAGAATAATTTTTCCTCCCTCATCCTCATAAAAGTATTATAAAGAGAATGTGAGGAAAAAAAGATGTTTCTGTTTTAAGGCATTACCATGATTCCAAATGGATTTCAGTCACTTTATATGCTTGCCCTTTTACAGATTCTGTTTCAAAAAAGCCTAGACCTACATGAGATATCTTTAGGGTGGTATCAACAGAATAATTAAGCATTTTAAAAGCTGAAATTTAAATCACACTTCAAGTAAAGTTTCCAATGGTGAGATGTATTAAGCTATAGAATAATCTCCCAATGTAAGTGTGAGAAATCCTATCACTTGGAACTTTTAAAACTAGACTATACAATATACTGTTCTTTATTTTATTTGCTGCATCCGAATTGCACACTACCTCACCAACACTGTAAAATAAATCCTGATGCTGATTACTTTATTACTAAGGCCCTAATCTGGCAACACATTCTATGGAAGGGGACATTGTATCCACCTAAAGCCCCACTTAAATGAACAGAATCATAGTCTAAAATCAACAAATAGACAGAAAGACTGGAGATAAGGAAACAGACAGACACGGACTCCAGAAAACAGAGAGGGAGATCACATATGAATCATACTGATTTCTTATTTTAATAGCTACATTTAAAAAAAAATGAAACACAGAGGATCATTTTTCTTTGATAGTTAAATGAAGGATTGAGGAACAATCAAAAACAGATCAAATCCAGTTTTGTTTTGTTTAATCATTTTTAGATTTTCTTTAAGGCAAGGACAATGGCTATGATAGTAGGGATAGAAAGGAACACACGGATTTTGGGTATACTGTACAGGAGCAGCAGATTTTAGCAACACACTAGATACAAGGAGTAAATGAGAAAATTAAACCAAAGTTGGAGGGCCAAAGAAACAGATCACACATTTTCTGCCATAGGAAAGTAGAGGAGGGAATGAAGACTTGAATAGTAGTTGAGAAAAAGGGATGGCAAGTCTGCTTTTTGTCATATTGAGTTTAAATTGATGAGTTACACAATGTATGTACATGGTAAACTTTCCTATTCAATGGGACTATTCACATGCTGAAAGGTCTATGGAATCAAGGTGAGCCTATTATAGTTTCTCTGTGGCAAGGACTTCCTCTTACAATGTGAACACTGAGCAAAATGTGGGGGGGAGTTGCACTACTGTAGGACAAATAATAATAGTGAGACTGAAGTGGGAGAAGTCAGGACAGAAAGATTTGGAAGCTATAATTACGGATAAGGTATATTAAGGCAAGAGAGTAGACAAATTAATCCAAGGAAGAGCTGTAAAAGAAGAGGGAGCCCAGGGAAGAAGCCTGTGAAAATCCCAAGGGGGAAGAAGGAGGTGGAACTGCCAAGCAAAACACAGAAGGAGCAGTCTATAAGGTAAAATAACCATGGAGGAAAGCAAATAGATAGGTGGAGTGATTTACCACAGTGAAAGAGAGAGAAAGCAAGGAGGAAAAATATGGAAAAGAAAAGACAGCTCTTGAACTTCCCCACAGATTATCCAGGAAAGAGCAATCTCAATGGAACAGGAAGCATGAAAACAAGACCACAGAAGACCATGGAGAAAGTTAACAGAAAGTCAAGGCAACAAAAAGAAATGAAGCAGCTTGGTCTTGAAGGGGGAGGAAGAAGATGGGATAGTAGTTAAGAGACAGAGGGTATTAAGCAAAAGATCTTTTTTTAAGTAAAGGAAATGGCAACAATGTACAGTAAAACTCCAGTGGTCCGGCATTCAATGGTCAGGCACTCCTGATGGTCTGGCACCATCTGAAACCTGGAAGTGCTCCAGGCAGCAGGACAATTGGAGCTGCTCTGCCCCTGGCTTCCCCGATACAGCGGCTGAATCAGGGATACCTGGGGCAGAGCAGCTGGGGCGCTGCCGGGTTGGTCCTGCAGCACCAAGGGGCGCATCCTCCCCACTCCACCCCAGACCCCTCATAGCCCCCCCCTTCCGATAGTCCAACATATTTGATATTCCAGTACCCCCTGGGTCCTAAAGGTGCCGGACTATCGGAAGTTTACTGTAATTAGATTTCTGTTCAAAAGCAGGAGGGATTCCAAATAGTCCAGCACCTTGGGACCTGACCAGTTCCAAACCAGAGAATTTGCCGAACCACAGGAGGTCAATATTGTCTAGCAGCATTACCAATACTTCCACAGCTTACTGAGCTCTTAGAAGACATTTACGGTTAAATTAAAGCTAAATAACAGCACTGAACACTGAGAGCTAGGACTGGTAGTTGCAAACAAACTTTATGGGACCATGGGGAAACTTGGCCATACCCATAAGTGGACAACCAGATAACTAAAATCATGCTGGACCAGGGACATTGCTGGACCAGACAGTGCCCAACTAGAGAGGCTAAAACCTGTGTTTTTCTTCTATTTTAACCCTTACTGTTGTAATGCTATATTTCTGTTATCCATATAAATGTCGAATTCTTTTTATAAATCCAGTTAAGCTCTTGGCCCCAATTATATCTTATGGCACTGAGCTCTATGGGGTAATTATTTGTTATGTGAAAAAAATTGTCACTTTAAGCTTGCTGTTTCAAATTAATTGACATTCCCTTTGCTCTTCGGTTATGAGAAAAGAGGAATAAAAGTTCCTGGTCTGCCTTCTTTTACACCATTTAGTATACCTTTTGTCACATCCCTCTTATTCCGTTTCTAAGAAAACTGTCCCAATTATTTTTCCTGTTTTGTCGGTGGAAAATTTCCCACTATTTCTAATAATTATCATATACCATAGAGTCTTTTTCAGCTGTATCCTATATGAGGTAGATTGACCATAAGTGACTAGAGTATTTCTGAGTATACCTTTGATTTTATAGCATTCTTTCTGTATTATTGTCCTTATGCATCCCAATGTTTTTTTATACCAGTACTGCATGTTCTCCAAAAACCTTTTAAGATAGTTGAGAGAAGCTATTTTTTTAAGGCAGCAGAGAACTGTATTCTCCATTCCCAGCTAGCAATACAAACCTACCACATTTCGTGCATGCCCCCAATACAGCTACACAAGATCGCCATCAGCATCCTATCCCCTCATTCAGTGCACCTCACCAAGGCATGAACTGCACTACCACATCTACTGTTTTGCAAGTCAAGTAGGCAGGGAGATACAGCACACCCACGTGTTAAATGTTTTGGTTCCAATGCCTGATGTCAAAACATTTTGGTTCTAATTCAGCTTCTCTGTCACAGGGCACAACCATTACAAGATACTATATATATATATAGCGCTCTGGGTTTTTTTGCAAAAAGCTGAATTTAAATTTTTTGACTCAGCAAGGTTTCTATATCTGAATGTTTTCCACCTGATTTGGAAACTTTCGGGGGCAATCCTTTATTGGGTATTTTATAAGATCTCAAAAATTAGACATGTTTTGTTCCCAGCATGCTCATTCTTGTTATGTTTTCTACATTTCTCCAATTTATGCAGGCACAAGGTGAACAATTTTGGAGTTGTTGGAAAATAGGCAAGGGGGGGCGGAGAAAAAAAAAGGTCTAACTTCATTGGAAGCTATACAGACTTCTACAGGTGTCACATCTTAGCGATGTGCCCCACTCTCCGGAAAAGGGGTTAAACAACGGTAAGATTTGCGGGACCATTTCCCATTTAAGTGGGTGTAAAAGCAAGGCGGCTTCAGCGCTGTGGGCTCCCCAGGGTACACAAGGCCCCGAATTCATTGTGCAGCGAACAATAGAAAGCTCCTCACCGCAAACACAGCAGGAGAGGGACTGTCGGAAGTAAGGCAGGAGCTTGGTGACCTCGGAGAAGGCCTGGGGGTCGCCGGGGTCGTAGTTGAGCACCAGGCGGCTCGCTGACACGTAGAGAGCAGTGGCACAGCGCTGTGGGCTCCCCAGGGTACACAAGGCCCCGAATTCATTGTGCAGCGAACAATAGAAAGCTCCTCACCGCAAACACAGCAGGAGAGGGACTGTCGGAAGTAAGGCAGGAGCTTGGTGACCTCGGAGAAGGCCTGGGGGTCGCCGGGGTCGTAGTTGAGCACCAGGCGGCTCGCTGACACGTAGAGAGCAGTGGCATTCACCGGGTTCATCGCAGCCGCTCCGACGCCCACGGCTCCGGG